CTTTGTCCTCAATAATGTTTTCAAGAAACACAAGTACTTCGCAATAGCCCCCCCCTAGGGAATTGTTTACCTTTGTCAAACTACCCAGACAGAATCACTCGTTGCTTCATAACTTTTCAACACTTATGTGAACTCTTCCTTCGTTAGTTTCACTAGGATGACTAGTTCTCAACACTTTCACTGGGGCTCACTGAGTTGTATTATTTCAGCGACCTTCCGTCGCGCACTGTGCACCATGCAACCTAATCTGATGGAATGTTCGCGCGTGCTGTCAGCACGTGATCAATGACAAATATGTGAACCAGACAAGAATCAAAAGTGACAATTTTGAGTTCATCTGGCGACGCGACACCCATGCGTTTTGTTTTTAACATGGGCTGGATAAATAAAGAAACAATTGATCAGCTTCCTCCTTATAGAATTTAACGGTTTTGCAGGCATACCACAATTTGATGGCCACATGAGTCGATGTTTTAACCGACAACCTTTCATCATTTTATTGGTATCAGAGGAATCGACAGTCTTGTTCTTAACTATTGATAATTGGGTAGTAAGATGGATTACATTACAAACGAGTTTTCCTGGGATTGATTGCATCATTTCACACAGTCCACGTTTTACACTAAGTTTTTATCATTTGTGTAATCAGCTTTTACAAGGGTTTTCCTGGTTTGTCCCATTTGAATGAGCAACTCTTTATCAGATGCCAAAAACGTGGCGACATCAATTAATTTCAGACGTTTCCTCAGTGCGTAATCGCTGCATGCTAGTAGGTCGTATTACTTGTTTCATTCATGAATTCTTTTAGAAAGAAGTGCAGATGTAGGTGCTTGTGTTGGTGAAAAGTTGAAAAGTCACCTTGTCATATTTCGACAAATTTTTCATCTGTAAACTTCACAGCCTACAAGCAAGGCAGTTTTATCAGCAGACCAAATGAGACTTAGTTTCCATTACATTCTGAATAGTTTTTCAGTCCGCCAAACGAATGCAGGATTAGCTAAGGAAGGCAGCAGTCTACAGTATGCATTTGCAAGCGCATTGTGTTTACTGTTGTTTGTAGCATTATTTGTTTGGGGTTGCGAACTCCCAAACGTTTATCGTACAAAGACTGTGGTCATGGCAGATCATAATACACAAGCATGATAATGATAGATCGCAGTCAAACGGAATGAGCTGCCGTCCTACCAGTGGACATCCACATTCAAGCTGTGTACGTTTACCGTACCGCATCCATAAATGGCGATGAGAACGGTGGGTGAATCACCAACCAGCTAGCCCCACTGGTCAGGGTGCATCCCGAGAAAAAAGGTAAAAATTATTAATGTACATCCAAAATGGCTGTGATGGCCGACGAAAGCTGAAAGAGTGGATGCCTTTCCGGAGCAGGTGAACGGAAGTAGAAACTAGGCCTTATGTTTCACACAACCCACTGGTACCCAGTTGCGCATAAGGGAAGGAGGGATAATGCACTCCTCATAAGGTTGTTGAACATTCTTTGACAGCCCACGACCGGTTTCGCTCTTCTTGGGGTTCATTAAGCAGGCACAGTCCCCGAGTTTCCATCAACCTCATGTTCTACCTGAATTTAAATCGCACGAAATTAACGAAATACACTCTTTTGCAAACAAATTTGGTTTTTCCTTACTTATACGCGTTTATGTGGGTTTCGTTGAACATCTGAGAGCAGTTGATGCGATCGGATAACTATTACATATCCTTTCATAATCTCGTCGGTCCTTCTGCAGTTGGTACTCCGTTGAGCTCATCCTCAACCCTCATCCAGTAAGAGCTTTTGGAGAAGCTAGTAAGTTTCTATGTGAAGATGGAAATGCATAGAAGTTCAGTTTACCAGTTTGGTCATATGCAGCAACTGGCAGTCGGTAGTCTGGTCCACTTCCTTGAGCAGAGCAATCAGAGCAGTCACCTGGTCAAGTGGGGTCATGATACCAGTCTTGAGCCAATAAGTTACAAAACGCACTGGCGCTGGTGGTTTTGTGGCTCAAAACTGGCCGCTGGATCATGAAATGTTTAGTTTTTATGTTACAGTTTCAGTGAAATAGAAATAAAGGAAAAATTATATAATGCTCGCTTCAAATTAAGTCATTGGATTTAGGTGTAACACAATGACTTCAGGATGATGTCTTGTAGACATAGCTGCTTTCCTTTGAGTTGCTGGTTTAGTAATTGGGAATGAATTCAGTCACGTCATTAACAAAGTGTACTGGAATCACCAGTGGAGGTAAAGTGGAATGTAAACAGACTACTCTGGCTACGGTTCTCCGTGAAACTGAAAAAGCGGAACGATGCTTTATCAAGCTACTTTGGGGAACCGTTTAGTGAAAGGGCACCCTACTAAAAAGTGATGACAATCCGACCTGATACACAGGTTGGGCTAATAAACTGTATTCGGATGTTATACAACTAAATACAGATCTACTTATTTTTTTCACGGAATTTGTTCAGATCCTGTGTAAACTTACAGGACCCAGAGGTGTTTGCAAATATCAGGTGGGTCAGTTGACGTAGACCGTAAATAGTATGAGCTTTTTTTTGAATTTTTGCCTAATGCATTAACAATCAGTGTAAGAAGTGTTATCGTGCAGGCCTCTGTGCATCCAACTCTAACTGCCTAGTTTGCTTTCCAAGCACAACAATCTAAAAGCAACTGCATCATATTTAAGTCTGCAGATGACGCATATCAACTTATTGCATTACTCGTGGGTTTGTCTGTCCGTTGGAGCACAAAATATTTCGTGCGTTTTAAAGACGCTATCCAATGAATACCGTGGCACATACATACGGAGACCACAGCTCAGCGGAAATTGGCACCGCCCAAAGGTAACTTTAAAGAGAAATCTCATCAGCATATTTCAACTGGGAGGTGTTTTTTCCTCATTTTCTGTTTACTTTTGATCAATCAAAGCTCGTCCTCCAAGCCGGGTTATCATTTGTCTTGAGATCACGTGGAAACTCATGCGTACGAAAGTCCTGAATTCTCATGTTGACAGCCATGGATAGAGTGGCGGGCAAAAACACATGCAAAATTAGGCACTGTTCGCTTTCCAGAATTGAGTATAGACGCCTTGAGTTTCGCTGTAGTGTAGCCCTCAGCCAACTTCACAGAGGTGAGGAATGTAGATTTACGTGCATTCTGGAATGTGATTTTTGAGCCTCGCCCTGACTGCATTTGACAGTATTCTTTGTCTTATCAGCGAACAAAATAATCTTTGAGAATCTAAGTGAGTGACGAAGAAAATCCAATCGTAAATTTAATCATATTATGCAAAGAGTGATGTAAATATCTGATTACTTTATAGTACAGAAACGAGGCAGAAATGAAAGAAACAGATGATATCGATAAGGTTTGCAAAGTACATTTACTTATTTGGTAGTCGGCGGATCATACACAATTAGATCAAAAATCTATTTTCTGGGTAGAGGATAGATATTAAATTTTTTATTTTGAAATGCTCTCTGGGTCATTCACAAGTATCTCGTACCTAAGCTTTTTTGTTGACAACATCAGCGGGGCACGTTTTCGGAATATTTTTGAAGGTTGTGGCTCTCACAAGTAAAGTTATTGAATATTCTTAACTAAAGGAGACCAGGGTAAGCGTAACAGCCATCGAAATGTGACAAGCTGATTGTGATCGATCCATTTAAAATCAGGAACTGGCAAGCAACTAATAGGAACAGAATGAATTGCTTGTACGATGATATTGTGTTATCCATTACTTATACTACTACTGTCGATACAGCTGACTGTAGTGCCCGGTGGGAAAGCTCAGACATTGACAGCGCTGTAAGTACTTACGAAAACGGAACGGCCCTTCGGCTGGTATAAATAAAGTTATCTGAACCCCGGACTGATTTGGTTTCGAGACGTTTGACCACTGGTATCGTAGAGTGGTGAATAGGCCGTCGTAAGACAATATTGTAACGAAAGGTATATCCACTTCTAACTTGTTTACTGTGAATAATAATGACATTTCAAGCAGTTGCTGCACTGGAAGCTCTCGAATGACCCTACTTGGTAGGATGAAATGTCAAAACCTATAATGACAATTCCAGGCAGATTTTACTCACGTGTGTGCTTGAATCCCGTTCAAGATGGCGTGGTGAAACTGACCAGGAGCACGTGCTGCTCGGGTAAGATCTGTAATTCTGATGGCAGCATCAAACGAAAAAATAATGGTGTCTTCAAAAATGATATTTTCTAATTGTTTTATTCTCAAACACACCATTTAAGTTTGTTTTGGAGGAGTGGCTGTCAGCTAACCCGGAGTTCTAGAAGTTAAGCACCAATCCATCACTTTGAAAATGCCTTATACCATGGAGCTTTAGTCAGTATATACTGCCCAAAAGTGCACCAAAATTTGGTTCCTCTGTCAGAACAACTCAAACCAGAAAGCAACATGTTATCCTGAACTACAGGACTCATTATTTCAGTTCAACTTTTTATTGTACTCAAGAGGACAAACTCTTTGTCTTTGAATTGAATTTTAAGTAAGGAGCGGGTCACAGATAACCTTTATTGCAAAAATTTCCTTGGAATTTCCGATATACACAGTTTCAAGAATCGGCTCCACCTTCTGATTATCGACCAATGTGAAATCTGTGTCCGTTCACCCAATCACCAATAACAATATTGTATGCAGCACATTTGTTGCTCTACTATTACCCACAGTGTGCGATAATATTAGCATCAGGTCTTAGTGTGCGACAAAGCGGACAGTCTAGCCAACATATGTATTCTCATTGACTGGGTGGACTTGAGAACACAAGAAGGAAGGTAGTTGATCTCAGGTGAACCTGCAATTCGATAGAACTACGTTCTTGAAGCATTTCTTCCTCACAAAGTGGACAGTCTAGCCAACACATGTATTCTCATTGACTGAGTGGACTTGAGAACACAAGGAGGAAGGTAGAAGATCTCAAGTGAACCTACAATTCGGTAGAACTACGTTCTTGAAGCATTTCTTCCTTATTTTAATTTGCCCATGAACAAAAGAGTCACGTTCTCACCTCAAAATGAGGAGCCCGCAAAACCGGCTGAAACACAGCCAAGGAAAACAAAACTCCGTCGGACGCATTCGACCTTCAAAAATAAAGTTATGCCACAACTTTTGGAAAATCACCGCCGCATGCTCGAGCATAGAGAATGCTCAATACCTTGCATATTTGAGTCGCATAGTAAGGTGTTGTTACTGTGGACGACCGTTGTCTCCGGGGCCATCATTTACAACCTGTGGTTACCTATTTTGCGACAGTCTTTCGGTGGTGTCCAACGCACGTATTTGTGGTTATGGATAGTGTTGGATCTGCTCGCCGATGTGATCTACATATTGGATATTTTAGTCCGAACCCGTTGCACATATCTCGATACAGGCTTGATTGTGAGCGATCGAAAAAGAACGACAGACCACTATATAAAGACTCGTCTATTTCTTTTGGACGTCCTCTCTCTACTTCCCACGGACTTTCTCCAGTTCAAAATTGGCATGCATCCAATGATTCGATTCCCAAGATTTCTGAAAGTCTATCGCGCCCTGCAGTGGAGAACCAAAATAAGAACTCTCTCGAAGATACCGAATGCTTGGCGTGTAGTGGGTTTGATACACCTGCTGTTCCTTGGTTGTCACTGGTTTGCCTGTATCTACTATGACATATCAGTGTACGAAGAGTTCAGCACAAGGTGGTGTTATTCCCCAAATCCATCGCTGAACTACTCCCTTGGACAAAGTTATTTGGAGAGTTTCTACTGGGCTACATTAGCGCTCACGTGCATCGGAATACATGAGGCGCCAACAAACGCTGTTGAGTAAGTTTCAGTTTTGCGATGCGCTAATTCGTGTCCATTGATTCTGCCAACTGGAAGTTCTAGACCGCTTAGCCTTATATGCTTCCTCTGCCAACAGCGTTGCCAAAGCAGTATATATTAGAAGTATTTGCTCAGGATATTATAATGACAAGGATTGTGGAGAAAAACTTATTATTTGACTGTATTGGTCGTGGACCGAAAAGCAGCTTTTCTACCGAAGGACAGCAACTTTAAACAACGGGTTTTCTTATAGATAATGACAACGAATATTCCCGTCTGCATCCCCCGTCTGGTTACCATGGGGATCATTTTAATAGGATACTGAACACTCTGGATTATATCACATAGCAGGACCAACAATGAACAAATTGGCCCATATTCCCGTCCTGATTTGCCACGGAAAGACCTTGATCTTAGGTGACTGACTGTAATGCCGCTGAGGTCATTGTTGTATTATTCTAAGGGTATTTGGCCACTCCTCTGTATGCCTATACAAATGTCCACAAAACCGCAGGTTAGAAAACATACGGAGCAATTGTTAAGCGCATGTGGATGAAGGTTGCAGTCCTCCCCCGAAACAAACCTATGGACTTCCTTAACTAATTAAGCTGAAGCATTTAAGAAGCAAATCTTGTTAAAAACTTCAAATATTTGTAGAATTATACGACTACGTTGGGTGAGCCCAGCTTTTGAATAAGACCGATCGGCAGAGGTAATAAGCTGGTGAACTAAATAGGTTCCTGTCCACTCTGTCCCAGACCGACAGTTCGATATTTTGTTTGCTTTGCATTATTAGAAACCGTGAAACATGGTCATGGTCATGCGTAACTACTTCACTAGCTCCAATAAAGTCCAGTGTCTCTGATGTAATTTTTTGAGAGCACAACTATATAAGTATTTGATAACCGGACTTTTTGAATAGCAAAGTGTTTGTGGCGTTCACTGCCTCCGAATTTATCGCTTCATCACAGGCTTTGAAACAAATTTATAATCAGTTGGCTCAGTATACATATAATCACAGTTTTCAGCAGTGATTACCGCTCCAAACTAGAGAAATATTATTTTAATTAATACATCAAAGTTTCAGTTGCTTTTCAAACACGAATTTCAGTAAAAACAAGTCTCTGACTCAGGCGGTTTACTCTGTTTACTTAAGCAGTCCACTTTCATCATCAGGGCCCGGCTGGTTTCACAAGTAGCCGGATCCTATTCCCAACCTTATAACATCCAAAAAAATTAGTCAGTTTTATTGGTGATAATTTCGTGAGATTTACTACTAGTAATCCTTTGCAATCGCGAATGACCCAATAAACGTGATTTACTGCGCCTTCTGTCCTCATATGCTGAACACAGGAGGACTAGATAGCCTGATGATGAATTTTACAACCCATGCTCTTGACACAGCACTTCAAAAACATTATCCATACTAATATATACAGCGTACATAAGACTTCACATGTTTGTTTCAGCCGTACAGCATTGAGCTTTCAGGTCATCTCCTAAAGAACCAACAATTAGTGCTAGCCAAAATCGAGCTTATTGGTGCACTCCCCCTAAAGATTGGAGTTTTTAAATCCATATCTGCGCTAGCGGCTCACGTTTGGTGAGGGCGGACAGGGTTCTATTACATCACGCAACGGAGAATTCCAAATAGATTTGGTCTGAATTACTGACTGGTCAAGTATTATTTTTTATAAATGACTTCCAATGTTTATCTAATAAGTCTGTGATCGGCACGATATCACTGTCCATGGTCGTACCATTTATCAAATAAAAGCTGAAATCGAAGGACGTTTTCCGAGGCAGCATATTCTTGTTCGCAAAACAAACGGAATTTCCGTATCAATATACATCCAGTAAAGCCGCGCCTACATATGCTTCCTCGCTATGCACTCAGCGTTGGGGACTAAGCTAAACAGTCGTATGACTTTAATGCGGTTTCCGTAACGCAGTGAAAGAGAGAATCTTTGGAAAACAGCAGGGAGTTGGGAACATCTTTCGTATAATGCACTAGATACCTCAGTCGGCACCTCTGTAAGTCACTTTCATGGATGGGATTGGCACTGTGTTAACCGTTTACAATAGGGAGTTTTAATTAGTTTGAGAGCTGACTCATGATTCTTGAAAAAAGAGGATATTCCACATTTGTGACAAATACATTCATTTGCAATTTGGTTTTCGCGGGAGACTCAAGTGGATCTGTCGTTTATGCTGTTCTTCAACTGAATGTTACACACAGGCAGCCCCATGTCTCAGTTGGTACGATATTCCAGATATCGCAGTATATTCTCATAGAGGAAACTAATCACAAGATTGCTGAAAATAAGTTGGGCTGCTGAAGAATTTTCAGCAACTTTGTAAGCAGTTTCCTTTGTGAACTTAGTACATATTTGTTTGGATTAGTCATTACGGAATTTATGAAGCTAAGCTTTGACATCTTTTCAAGTGCTTCATGCGTTTTTACCTAACGGGATTAGCAAAACCTAGATGGAGGTAGCCAACCACTGCAGCTACAGGAATAAGCACCTACCAAACAAATCTAGTGTGCTGTTGTACACAAACTCAGCAGTTGAATATAGAGTATGCGAAAACTGCTCCAATCAGTTGCATGTCCACCTAAAGCGCTTCTTCATCAGAAACGCCATTTTAAGGTGAAACCAGGTTCACCAAGAGTCAAGTTCCTCGCATAGAGTATGCGGAAACTGCTCCAATCAGTGGCATGTCCACCTAAAGCGCTTCATCAGAAACGCCATTTTAAGGTAACCAGGTTCACCAAGAGTCAAGTTCCTCGGGAATCTAGCAAGTCGCTTGCGCTTAGCGGGGTAGATAGCAAAAAGACTAGCTTTCTGAAAGCCTTGTCCCGGGGTAACTACGTGATATGCAACGTTTAGCAGAGGCTGAAAACTTCCGCACAATGCACCGCCATTCACCAAAACCCTTCCCTTTCAACAGCCTGGAGGAAAGTCTTGGGGGCAGTAGATGAGTTCATAAGGGAGTACTGTTTTCCGGAGTCAGAGAGGCGAAAAATTACGAACATTAACCTACAGACAAGATTGACGAAATAACGAATCTCACTAATGGTTAGGCACACAGTTTACAAAAGTCATATACGGAAACTGCAACGTCCCTGCCCGTTCTCCTAAGCTGCATTAGCTCATTCGACCTGCTTGTGAGTGAGGAGTTATCCTCACGTAGCACTAGCCAAGCTTGCGCGAATAAATAGTTGCTTCAAGAAGTATTCCTCCAAACCATTTTCTGCGTCCATTTTCTACTGACAAAACACACCCAGCAAACGTTCACGTAAAGTCTTCAATGGCCCGTTCGCTGAAGGACAGATCACTTTACGAGATACGAAGCGCAGCGTAATACAGTGTGTGTTGTTACAGAAAGTCACCCGAAATGTAATCGCAATTTGAAGCCAAGCAGGTTTTTTTAAATGACCGTTTGTAAGTTCGACTCAACCGACATCTCAGTAGTAATTTCCCATGTGCGCGCGCGTCTTGTTTGCATCGCCCATCAAAGTCAGGTTTCAAGGCAGGCTGCGTGCGATGGGTTCGGTGATATCATACCCCGCTGTTTTACCACGGTTGCGGTATCACAGTCTTGAAAGCGTAGTATAACGTATCTGAAATTTCAGGGCGCCTCATTCATGTTCCATTCATACAGCCACCGTAAAGCCGACACACTTGTCTACTAGCAAATGCCACCCATGTTGAAGGCGAGCGAATTTGAAAACTTTTATCCGTCGTTTGACGTTTTGGTTTTTGTGTCTGAATACAGAGCAAATGTATTTATCACGTTATTGTTAACCCCGGTCCCAAATAATGTTTTTTGTTCGATCTTGTTGGTTTATTTTCACTTTTGTTCCAAATATCTCCCCACGTTAATAAGGAAACTGAGCGACCTCAATTCGTTGACTGCTATTCCCATCAAGATTAAGCCGGACATATTTCGGGTTGTAAAACTCGGAACTGCCAATCCTGAACCTCGTGCTTCTGTCGAGTTATACCACAGCCATTCAAAACTGGGGTACTTTATGTCTCTGCTTCTGGATTGCTATCATTGGTGTGACGCTTAGCAGAAGAGTTCCTTGAATTTCTTCAAGAAATACTGGTTAATCTAAATACCAAATGCACAAAGTATTTATCCAGGTAAATTCCTCCAAAATACTTTGGTGCCCACTATAATGCTAGGACGCCTGGTCTGCTGAACGAACGCTCAAACGAGATCATAATGCTACAGTACATTTGTCCGTCAGTTCTTAATTGAGAACGTTTCGGTCCAGAATCGAGGCCGAATAGGTTAGCTTACCAAGCTGTTTTTCAACTGATATTCAAAATGGTATCTTATGGAGCTTTTATTCTGTTTGAAAAGGCTTTTTGTGTGTAGCACGTGAGCCCTCCGACCTTTCTGGGCCAGAATTTATCCAAGTCAATATAACACTCAGATTTATTTGATAAACATCATGGGAACGATTCTTTCTACATGGTAATATCATTTATGAGGTTACATGATCATTTTTCGGTCTAAATGAATGACTGGAATCCTGATTAGACACTTTGGACGGTCAGGTGGTAATATCTGGTTGAAAAGCTGGCTGCACGCTTTAGACGGTCAGGTAATATCTGGTTGAAAAGCTGGCTGCACAGTTGGTATGTATTCGAGGATTGCCGGAAATCAGTCGAATTGTCTCAAAAATAAAATTTGGGTCACAAAAACAATGTACACTAATACGATTCGAGTATCCCAACTTCCACTTTCCTGCAGCTTTGAATCAAAACTTTTGGGAAATTAGTTGTTTTATCCAATCGTCGATCTTTTTCCGTTTATTTGTATTATTTTATTTACGTTAATCGGAGTTGTTCCACTCTTAACATCCCATTTACTTGGCCTGGGTCCGTCTGCACGAATAGAACTTACATAAAAGAATTTTGAGCAGAAGATTGATAAAATAAACAAAAGATTGGCTTTGCAGACACAATTTTCGAAACAAGAGACACGTGATTATCATCCAGGGTGAACATAACTAACTGTAATCAAGCAGGTGATTTGTTTCATCCTTCAGATGCGCTGAATTCTCTAACAGGCAGAGTTTTCACACCGTTTTTCCTTCAGATATCTCTAACAAAAACCCTTCTATCAGATTCACCTTTCCAGGAAAATTACTGTTTTCTCATGTTTATCGGTGTCATCCTGATAAGATTCCACTGAAACAATCGTCTGTACGCAGATTACTTCGGTTTTCGTTGTTATTAAAACCGAGAGGAAATTTTGTGTCAAATTCTCACATTTAGGGTCACAAGTGATTTCCATTCGTTCTCATTCTTCCGGTGATCGATGCTTCTGTCGTTATATTCATCAGCTCTGAGATCCTCAGAAGGGTTCTGTATGTTTTCAATTTACTTTTTACCAGCAAACAGATGCACCATTTTTCAAAATGGTTCTGTCTTCAGCTTTTTAATTTTACCAGTTTTCATTTGATCCGTTTCTTTAGATATTCGTCTGACTCGAAGATCTATTACCGCTGGCAGTAGTGGATATGCACCCACAAGTATTTTCGGTAATCCTCCTAGTGACTGAATCGACTGCTTGAATAAAGTGATCTTTCAGCTTAGAGGCATCCCTCTTGGTGCCAAGCATGGCTGTCCTACTTGTAATTTAGCAGGAATTCTTAGCTTGTCACCATCAGGTTATTCGTCTATACCCGAAGGGGCGCCGTTTTTGAACGAACTGTGCAATAAATTTAGCGGTTCATCTTTCAGTAAGACCATTACATTGTTTTTACCTGTATTTGGTTTTCACGTTGAAAGAAACCGACTCGAAGGGACATAAATTAGGAAACACTGGCGAGAAAGTTTCAAGAATCTGCCGTGATAGTTGGATTTCCATAGAAAAATGACCCAACGGATCATTTCGATTGTCACAAATGCTTACATGACGGAATTCCCGAGCTTCCAAATAACGTGACCGTCGGCAGTTTCACTTGCCCAACAGAAAGGAAGTTCGTCGAGTCAAGAACGCCAGCATGTGTGTGTTGATGGAGCGTGGATCATTCAGGTTGTTATAGGAAGGTAATAGTTATTTGATTAGGGTTATTTATTGTGGGATAATACATATTTTGAAAACACATTCTCTTGTTCATTCGCCATACCATGCATTTTACATGGAGCCAAAACTTATGACTGCAACTGAGGAGAATTTGATAATCTAAAATTTGGAATTATTCTTTCGCTGTAGCACTTGTGCTCTAGGAGTGGAAATCTTTACCCGGTTAGACGTATAACATTCCAGACCAGGCAGACAGGCACATTAGGTAAGAAAAATTATTTGACCTGCGAATGATCCCGGTTATTTTCTGCACAATGACGATTGTTACTGGGTGGGAACAGTCTAGCTAAAACAGGCTTGGCAGCGGTGTTACGAAGACGGCGGGCGTGTTATGTTATTGTTCTTGGTGATGCGTTTAGCGGTGAAGTGCAGTCAATAGCTGATGAAAAGACAATGAGCAAACCCGTATGGTTGGCCTGACCGCACACTTTGGTGAAGAAATCAGGCAATGATGTCACCGACTGTTGCCAAATGATTGTTAAAAAGCGGACGTGACCTTCAGTGCTGACCAAATGATTGTCACGTGTTTTCTGTTGCTACTGTTGGCATTCAGAGTATAGTTCATTGGCAAAAGCCTCAACACACAGGAGCTCCACAGTTGACGTCAGCCCGACTGAAACATTCCAAGCCTATGAAGATCAGGATTAGGAATATCCGAGTCCTTCTGCTACTTTCGCAGCAATTGGCACGCATCTGCGTGTTCGCTGAATAGCGTTCTATTTGTCCACATTTTGGCTGATGCAGACTACCGTGAAGCCTGAATATAGAATTGTGTATAAGTCATGTACTTCTTACGCAATAAATGTCCCTGTGTCTGTTATCTGTGGATGCCACAATCTTAGCATAGATGTCCGATAAATTGCAAGATGGCATCACGAAGCTCATTTCCATCAATTAGGTCCTAGTTCATACGTTGTTAATTACGTGACGTAATTATTTGTTTCCCTCAGGCTAATTCATCACCCTTTCGGTGACTGCTCAAGTTGTAAGACTGAACTGTTCTATTTTATACAAAATTGACTCTACCTCAACCGTTTTTCTATAGACAACTTGTTTACGTTTATTTCTGGGCTTGTTGTTGAAAATTTGTCCCACTTTGAACTGAACAACATTTTTCCCATTTAATTTGTCCGATAGCACACTGCCCTTCGTGTGCCATCCTGTGTTGCTAACTGCCCAAGGGTCAACCTAGACGTAAGCCTTTCTTTAATTCTCCACACGATTTACTGTCAATTTCCACGGTCTACCTATCAATACTGTCGGCCCACGTCCGATTCAAAATATTGTTCACTGCCCACTTGCGACTACTGAAGAAACGCGGGTGAAGTTCGTAGAATTCGGTTTTTCCACAGTTATTACCAACCGATGAATGGGACTACACGTTACCTGTCAGATAGAATACTTAGATTGTGGGTTTAGGCCAATTAACCAATTCCTTGCTTTGAGATCACGGCCTTAGCACAGGATCGTACATACGTGTTGTTATTGTGGTGCATTTAGATGAACCAAGTGTTTCGTCGTGCACGATTTACAGAATAAGGATTTGATCTTACTAAACTATACAATCTTCACATAGAGGAGACAACATTTACAGCGTTGTCATGCCTTTAGGGCATTCGACTGATAAGCTTATATGGATTATGTTTGCTTCATAACGTCATGTTAGCTTTAAATGATTCAGTGATGCCAATGGATTTCTCCACGCACAACGCTGTGTGTTCCACATCTTTGATTTTTCACATTCCGGACCTCCCCGGGAACCTAACTGCCATCTCTTGAAGATTGAGGGGGGAATTTGCATGCTAGTTTGGCATGTCACACTAGATTCCGTCGTTTAACTGAAGCTAGACTGTGCTTAAAAGTTGGGAAGATCTGGGAATCATCATCCGTGAGCATCTCACAAAATCCATCAACTTTTCCACCTGCAACCTTCCTATTAGTAGATTCAATTCTTCTTTAACTTTCAATCATTCGCTGCTGGTCAGCATTTAGCTAACCTGTCCGCAAGCACGATATAACGTCACTCATTCTTCAGCGGTGTGATCAATATTACATGAACTAATGTTGATTGGCTTTTTGAGTGCTGACTTCTCAGATAGAAGTTTCACTCGGCGTGTGAAGGTATAACCGGGAGTATCTTATGAAGAATGCCAGCGCACTCGTTGACTGCACTGTACCACTTGGTGAAAGAGCTCAAGGCTAACGCTCTCGATAGGCGACATTGTTTTGTGTTGCAATAATCACAAAGAGTCTCAATCGTTGATTAAAAACCAGCAGACAAGCATTCGTTTTTTCCTGGAACTTTTCATCACAAAAACTCTCTCAGTCATGCTAAATCCATCAAGCGCAGTTACCTCAGAATCACGGAAGAAGATAACAACCATTCGCGAATCTGTAGCCGAAATTTACACAGTGTGGGGAAAGTGAGAATTTATTGGGGGATTTGAACTCTGTAAATAATTATCATTGCACTGAAAGACTTGAATGTACTGCTCTCAATACGATTGTCAGAAGGCATTTCATAATAAATGTTTCCAAGAAAACTCTTTGGTAAGGATGCTAGCCTTTAACTCAGATCGTGTGAACCCACTGACCAGATGAATGTGACAGCCTGGGAAACTTAACTGGATGGGCTCAGCTTGGTTATCTTGATTATCTACCACGTATAGAATAATTTGGGTGATTCAAATTTAATTGAGTTGAGAGGAATTAATAAACGTTTGAGGGAAAATGAAAGTTAGGCGCTAAATTTAGCAATCAGTAAAACGGCTCCAAAGCTTTGCCAAGACAGTCGTATGCAATCCAACGAAGCTACAAAGCTTTTGACACGGCAAAACTGCACAGGAACAAAATATAACACGAATTTTTCTGGATAGACTATGAAGGTCGCTCTCCAAGCGACAGATAAATTAGTCTGGTTCAGACAAATGGGGTCTCGTAAATTTTTTATAATGAACTGAGATCAGCAGCGTCTGTGTTGTTTGTTTGAAATGAAATTCTTTTCATCATTTTCATACATTTCCAGTTAACTAATGGGATAGACAAAAAAGTGCTTGATAAATCATTCCGCACTGCGTTTTGTGAATGACAAATATTTTACTTGGGCTTCCTTGATCTAATCTGTTTGCAAAATAGGTCACCTTTAAAAGCTTTGGATGCTATAACAAATGGTGTAACAAAAATTGAGTCCAGGGAAGGTGCTTATCGATTAGCTGAATAACTGTCACAAGACCACGGTGTTAGCTAGTTTCTCATGTGTTATTCAGCAGATGTACTTTAATATCCAATGGAAAACATCCGATCATAACCTGAGAGGTCATTCCAGGGTTGAACTGATATGTGCAGTGCTTCCAAGTAAACAATTAAGTTACCTCAGCGTTGCAGTTTGAGAGTAAGGGTATTAACCTAGAAGAAACAGTACTCACTACCTTGCACTCTCATGAGTATAATTATGAAAAATGGGTTTAGATTCACCGTCAAGGATTTCACATGGTGCTTTTTGAGAGTCTATTAGCTTGTGCTCGCACTTTAAAACAATGAGATAACAGTAAAGTTGCACAACGGAAAAAATTTTTGTAGTGCGTGGGCAGCGCATCAGTAGCTATTCGTGTCGCTAAAATTCATAAGAGCAAACGTTTACAACTGAGTTCAGTCCACCACTGCAGATGTCAGAAATCAATATCTTCTGGAAGTGGAATTCAACAATGCATTATTAGTGAAAACTCACGGCTGCCAAAGTTTCGTTCGCCGATTATTTGGGGAGGCAGGATAGGTGGCTGATTTAGTCGATAAATGAATTCATGGAAATGAAATTTTCACTGGTGAACTCGGGTGCTCATGTTTGAATGCATGAGCATCACTCGGAGCACAGCTGGGTCATGTGTAACAATGTCTCCAACCATTGACATATCCGTCTCGGGGTCATCAGCGCGACTGCGTTTGCCGGTTATGGCTTTCACTACAATTTTATCTTTTGACCTCCGTTGGTTGGATTCCACCCTTCGCCTGGTTGTGCGAAAAGGGAACTTCGAGGAAGTCGGTCAACATATTAAGCACGTGACCCATCCAGCTCAACCTATGGAGATTAATCAATTAACCCGTCATGTGCACGTTATTTCTTCTGAAAACCATTCGGCCGATACACCTTAGCACTAGTGATCCACTATTCCCACCAGACAAGGAAAACGCCCCGAAGTAATTGGTGATCAAATATTGAAAGATTTCAGGTGTCTTCGGAGAACAGTGGCCAGGTTTCTGACCCGCGTAATAATGTGGAGAGCACCGCACCATTGTAAACTCGACATGATGTATAAGCTGGTGTCACACCTACGCCACACGTGACGGAAGCTAACGAAACCTCCTTTAGCCTTCCCAATCCGGATAGAAATATTGCCCCTAGCTATACGACCGCGAATGATACAGGTAGACAAATTAGTCTACAAACTCACTCGGCTCATCCGGAATGATGAGTTTACGGTTTGAGCCCACCAAAGCTTGCGGCAGCACGTCGCACTTTTCAGATGTGAAGCGCATGCCAAACTGTGGTACAAAGTCATTTAGACTACACAGTGCTGCCTGTATTAAAAATGTGCCACATCCAAGAAAAACATTATCGTCGGTATACTCGGCACCTATGAGCAAACAGGAGTTTTGACAATAGAGACTGGTATTCAGTCTTGAAGAGGAAACACCAAAGAGGACAGTCTTGCCTGACGCTAAATGAACTGAGTCGATAGCTTTCCGTGGACCTTCACATGTCCGCGAGAGTCGGCATGGAGCGCGTTAAAGAGGATCAAGAAGTTACGGGGGGTGCTCCAGTGACATTCTTACAGTGCCTGATGGTCCACAAACCCAAAGGCAGCCTTCAATTCAAGGAATACAACCACTTTTGGCTGCTAAAAGCACTGTTGCTGTTCCATAATCTGTCGGAGCACAAAAATTTGATCGATAGGTTCTCTTGCAGCACAGGACTCAGCTTGGTTTTTGCAGATGTGCACCTCCCTGTGTTCAGTCAACCTTGGTGAGAAAAAGCCAGGGGGCACCTTTGATACTGCATCAACTGGGCTAATACAAAGTTGGTTTTTGCACAACGTCAGCTCCCCTCCTTTGAAGAAGAGATGACTGTCGATGTTCTCCATTCTGCAAGCACTAAGTCTTCACTCCGTTCTGCTTCATTGAGTTTTGTCAGATAGGTCACGAAGGACACTTCAAATTCCTTAAAGAAGAACGGATACAGACATCCGGGTCTGGTGTCCTTTCCCCTTTTTGGTACGGGTAGTTTTTACCGTATTTCTTCTTCTGACGATCGATTAAAGTTTATATCCGCTCCGCCTGTATGCACTCTCTCCAAAAGCTGTGTTACACGGGGCCGGCTGAACCGTTCTCCGAAGGGTTCGGCCCATCTTTCAAGTCGATGTTTTTGTGGATGAAATGATGATCTGACATTTCACTTAGCATTTCTCTGACCGAAGCTTTCTCAGGGTCAGTTGATCGCATCAGTTGGTATAAGTGATGGCTATTTCCGGGCTTTCAGTGTCTGCCGGAACTACCGGTAGACTCCTCACTGGTTGGCATTAGAGAGCTTTGCGAGCATCGTCGTATTCATTGCCTCCTGGTATGTATTTCCTAGCACAAGTCAGTGCCGGTGACTTTGATGATAGCCAGTGGTCACTTGATCATATTGAAGAAGTTAAGCAGACAGCACTGAGCCCATCTAGCATAGCTCCTTTCACGTCTTCTAATGCCCCATCCGCGTTTCGACAACCAGTATAGTACTTGTTTAGTGCAGAGAGTTGTTGAGCTAGCGCAGCTCTATACTACTGAGCTGTGTTAGTTCTCCAAAGATGGTGGAGTGACATGATTATTGCTGAATTGCGAAGACCTGTCTGCTTGCTTGCACGTTGGAGTGACCGTATAGAATTTGTGTGCCCCAGAATTAGCTGCAGTCACGAAGTTTGGCTCTCCACCGGTGGCTAATGCTCACATGATCCAACTCAATCCACGGTAAATTTGCAGCTGGCGTCTGCCAGGTTATGCGGTGTAGATGTTCTTGATGAAAATCCGTACTGGCAAAAAACAGTTGATGATCAGAACACGACTGTCCGCTGTCTGTGTGACGAACAACGACTCAGATTCAACTGCCTAGATGTGATTGCATGCAGCTCAGACGACCGGATCTGGCATTCATATCGGCCGCAAGAATCACACTGTTAGCGCTTCTTGCTTGACGAATGAGCCCGGATAACTCTGGAAGCAAGGAAGACCGTTTTCACTGGGATCCAGTCTAGCAAAGCGCTTTCAGCACTGAAACTTCTTCGTCCTTGGCATCTTGGGGTGCATGACCAAGTTTGGGACTTGTGCGCGTGTTTTATAGATAAAGTATACAAGAATTCTAAGGGAGTATAAGGTCTCGGAGAGCCAATTTGACATAGCTTATGGACGTTAAAAGCTTCTATGTAAAAAGGAACTTGTGGACCTAGCAGGGCGTTGCTTTGTTGTTAATAGGCAGGTGGGTGGATAAGGTCCATCGGTCAGATACCTGACAGTTCCATGACCCAGCAACGTTTGCTTTTATGGTGGGAAGGGTTGGGCATGGGCATCGATCGACAAACACCTGTGTGGATAAGTGTTACGTACAAGTTGCCCAGGCCGAGGTTAATTTACCCCACCATGAGCCTCTGATTCAAACGCCTGACCCAAAAGACAGCGGGAGGAGGTAGGACCTTGTTGTGGGAGCATTCCTCCGGCCTCCAGCTGAAAAGTTCGAACCGCAAGGAAGCAGTAATTAGGGTTTTCTTGAGGGACCCAGTAGTCTGAATCACTTTGTTGCAGAGGCCGG